GTCCATGCCTTACGCCGCCCTTGGTCATAGAAATGATGTAATTTGAATATAAATTATTTATAAATACGTATGTCAAGTTATATTTTTATTACTACGTAAAATATATTTAAGAATTTACGACCACTGTGCTGGGTGAGACGTTGTTGAAACAAAAAAAGTTATGCATTCCGTCACGTACATAAACAGTGTCGTAATTCGCCAAGTGCAAATTAGCAAATTCGTAAAATTTTTGTTTATTTTGAACAATCCGGATAATAGAGGTCCGGATAATGGAGGTTCTGCTGTATATATATATATAAATTAAATTAATGATTGTATTAAATTTTAACACTAAATCTAAATTTTTTCTTTTCAAAAGCCGTGAAACATATAATGCTTTAACAAACTGGTTAACAGATGCAAGGACTTTGGCAAGTCCAAATATAGTCATTTTATTGGTTGGAAACAAGAAAGATTTGGAAGATGATAGAGAAGTAACATTTCTTGAAGCAAGTCGATTTGCACAAGAAAATGGTATATATTTACTCTTTAAAATTAAAGAATTTAATTATTATAATTTATTTAGGTTTAAAATAATATGTAAAGATATTATATCTCAATGTTTTATACAATATAATCATTGAAATTTTTTCAGTAATAATAACTAATGAAAAGAATATAAAATTTATTATGTTTTTGATTAAACAGAAGTGGTTAATAACAATATTTTAAAAAATTTACTTTTAACATTACTTTATTGAATTACTTTTCTAAAAATTTTTGTTTATTATTACAGTTTCTATTTATAATGTTAATTTGATTGCCAAATTCAAATAAATTTATAAAAGAAAAGGGGAAGAGATAAATTTTTCAACTTTTTGACAACTTTTGTTGTAAATTTAAAGTGATGCCAAAATTTATGAACTTTTCTAATAAATACAATTTTATTTTTATATAAATAACTTTAATGATGATCAGGATCAAAAACAGAAATTTTATAAAATTTCAATAAAAATTATTATATTATTATTTTTTGTTATTGAGTTATGAAAGCTTCAAGAGATACTATGATATTGTTATTTTTAACTAGACAATTTAGAAATGCTTTATATGAGAACATTCAAAAATGTTGAACACTTTTCCAGGAATATTAGCTTTGAGAGAGAAGTTTCTATAAATGTAATACAGCTTTCCCCAGAGTTAATTTGATTTCTGTTATTCTCAGAGGAATAACAAAATAGATTGTTTTATTGATTAAATTTTATGCTACTGTTTATCATAAGAATATATATAAAATTTACATTAAAAAAATTTTTTTTGATATTGCTTTACCAGTATTACTGTTAAGATATCTACAGTTAACCTGTAGACCAACATTAATTATAGACAAATTTATCTCTATATATACAGTAATCAAAAGTTTACATGTGAGGAGTAATTGACAATAACAGCAAAGTTTCAAATGTTTCACTTGGGTCTGTGATAAATTAATTTTGAACATTTATTTAAGTCCTGACAGTATTAGCAGAGCAGTAACAAACATAGCTGGCTCATGCCATAGCTGAATCTATTTTTCACAAGTAAAATCTTTATATGATCATCCAATATAGTCTAAAGATCAGTGGTTCCAAACCTGTTTTTTTTAGTCCACATAAGTCTTTCATGAAAATGGAAAATTTCAATATCCCTAATTGTTCATAAAATGAAAATAGCTAAAGAATGCTTGTTAAACAATTTTCAAAAATTAATTATAAATTACCTTGTAATTGGACTGCAATTTGAAAAAACTGTAGACCTGTAAATTTCCACTGTCCATCCTTATTAATTTCAAGAAAGGAGTTAGATAGATGAAAGTCAAGGCTGGATATGGAAAGCTTGAGGCAGAGGTGCCGATTATATACAAACTTCTGGTCTAGACCAGAAGTCATGTAAATTCAATTCCATAATTTTTGCCTGAAAGGAGTTAGATAGATGACTGGCATGACTGTATTGCTAGCTGAAAAAGTATGATTACAGGAGCAAGACACTACTAATTTTAGGTAGAGAGCATATATTTTAAATTAAATAAATTTAAATAAATTAAAAATTGCAACCTAGCGTTGTGAATGAATATCTTGTTAATTAATTGAATAATATTTATTAATGACTTTACTTGCTGTAGTTTGTATAGTTTCTTAAAACCTGGTTCTGCTAAAGACAAAGACATAAATTGATTTGTCACTGAAGTCCTTTCTGTACTTGGTTTTCAGTTTTAGGATTTAAATGCTCTTTCACACATATATTTAATTTTAAATGACAGCAAGACTATGATTACTTTATTTACCAGTGATGAATATACATTTAATGTAGCAGTTAATTTTTGGATTTCTTCTTCATTGAATTTTAATTATTAATTTTGCAATTATTATAGCATCCACTTTAGTATGCTAAAGAAATGTATATTCATCACTAATAAATAAAGTAATCATAGTTGTGCTGTCATTTAAAATTAATGTTGATAAGAACTTTATTTTACAAAAAAATATGTCTCAATATTTGTAGATCAGGAAGACTGAATGAAACTTATTAATCAGGTTATCAAATTTATGTATAAAGTATAAGTATCCAAAAAATCTGAATAATGCTTATCTAGAAGAAAAGTGACACAACTTAAAAAATACAATTTTTCAGGAGAAGCAATTTAAGTTTGGTGTTCTGATATGATATTCAGTTACTATTATCCTTATGTCATTTGTGCCATCTACTGGTTATTATGTAATGTGACCTGTGACACTTTTCCTCACATACACACTTTTTTTTGAGATATCACTTCTTTCTGGATATGTGATAAATCTGTCACCTAAGTTTATTCTGAGACTTCCTTACAACTGTTTCCACATTTTTTATATCTATTACAAACTACTAATTAGTCAATTTATATTCCTTTATTTTAGAGGTACCATTACTTTAGAAATCTAAAATAACCTTATGTATGTTAAGAACAGATTAATTCTTAAAGAATGGCATTTTTAGAACATTCTTTTTATGAGAATTTTTTATTCAGATAAGACTAGTTTTGAAATACAGTAAAGCGTCGATTATCCAAATCAATTGGGAACTGGGGTTGTTCGGAAGATCGATGTTTCGGATAACCGATTATGTATGAAAAAATATATTAATTTATCCCATCTTGACATTTTTCTCCATTTGCGTTGAATTTTCGCTTTGCGTTGAATTTTCATCAATGTTAAGTGTAACAAAGACTATTGTATCGTTAAAAATTATTTTTTTATTTTGTATGAACAAAATAAATATATTGAAAAATATAAAAGCAATAAAAAATTATACTTCAGAAGTTAATTTAGTATCAAAAACGTAAAATATTTGAGTAGCTCAAGACATAACCAAAGATTGCAGCGCCACAGCACTGGCAAAAATTTAAATTTGCCGACTGGAATTCTTTCGGATGATTGACTTTCAGATAATCGACACTCTACTGTATACTGTAAATAGATATAATTTTGAAAAATTATAATATTTTACATGTTATTTTCTTCTACTGATGAGTGACTTATTTTGTTGTTCATTAAGCTTACCTGCTATTTAGATGGAGCTATTAGCATAAAGTTAAATAATTGTAAAAAAATAATAGTATATAGATTTTCTTTTTTTTATTGTGCCATAATAAACAATTATATCAAAATTTATCATCTTAATAATCAGTCACTAATGATATGATGTAAATTATTTCTTTTTCTAAATCATACAAGTTTTAAACATAAAATATCTGAAGTTTTTTCCCCTCTCTTACAGAATTAATGTTTCTAGAAACAAGTGCATTAACAGGAGAAAATGTTGAAGAAGCATTTCTTAAGTGTGCTAAGACCATTTTAGCTAAGATTGAATGTGGTAATTATTTATTTTATTTAGTTTAAGAATTTAAAAGAAAATTTAATATTATATTAAAAAAAATAAGTTTCAGGTTTTTTGCATTTTTTCTAGGATACTTTCTAGGATCAGTTATGATTTAAGGCATTCTTATCTATTAAATTATTCAAATACAGTAGAATCTTCTTTTAACAGATTGCAGAACAATGAATTTTTCCCAGGTCTCATCAAATCAATGTAATTTTACTCCCTTTTAGTGAATCTGTAATTCAGAATAACTGATTTTTCTAGCCTCATGTAAGGTAAACATGTTTTTTCAACATTTAATTAACAATTGGAATGTTTTTGATATTGAATTTAAAAAAATACATTGCCTGTGGTGCAAACTATGCACATAATTGTCACAGTTCTCATTGCTAAAGTTGCAGCCACACATTAGTAGCTCATTGATTAGTGGTAGGAAATTATTTCAGGCTTAGCACTTCCAAATATTAATGTGTCTGCAACAAAGGTGTTGCAGCTTAAAATCACACCATTGTGTTTGCTTTAAGTTTGTATTGATGCCACCAAAAGAAGCCTAGAAATGTCACATCATCACATTGAAAGAAAGGATAAGAGCGTACAGTAATGCAGACTAGATTCATAATCTGTCTTGTCTGGTGTTTTTCTCTTGTGGACATAATATGGAAAGATTACAAAGTTTAACTTTGAGATCTTTGTAGGTCTAGATCAAGGGTTGCAAACTGGCAGCCTGCGGGCCAGATACAACCTGTTATGGCTTCATATCCAGCATGTGGGCTTGATGATTTCTTTTCTATAAATCAATGTTTCTAACATCTTGTGAGGATTAAAACAAACAATGCTACCAAAGATGATCGTCCAATATGCTTTGTTGCAAATGGAAAGAAATTATATCCAACATATTAGACCAGATCTGTTGCAAGCCACACAATTCACTGTATGTGCATGGGAGAGTGTAACTTCTCAAATTGTTTTCACCATGGTGTTTTTATATAGTCAAGATACCATTGGTGATGGTGATGCTGGAGGAAAGTGCATGGGAATGTGGGTGAAGATTTTGGCTTTAATGAATCTGTAGAGTTCAATGATGTCCTTGATTACATCTGGGATGTGTATAAGTGAAGAATTGTATGAAGAGTCAGCAGGCTATGATTGAAAGAAGCCACTGGTGAACATTCTAATGCTGGTGCGAGTGTAGTGCCAAAATTTAGCAAGGCTATCAATGATAGTCTTTCCAAGTCATGAAGACCTTCCTGATGAGTTTTAGCATAAATAAACCAAGATGATTTCATGATTTGTTAAAAAATTTGTCCAAGTAGAGTACTAATGAGTACATGTGCTGTACTTAGGGAATTCGATCCTGGTCCTTATTTCTAATCCCGGGATTTCGGGATTATACTTAGTCGATCCCGGGATTATTTCGGTATTGAGGGTTAATAAAAAATAAGAAAATCTTACAGAAATCAACAAATCAAAATTTAGACAAAAATCAACATATTTTACAGTATACACCTAGCTAATTTAATCACTCTAACTAATCAGACTCAGAGTCAGACTAACCAGACTTAAAATCACTCAGTCTTCATGTTAAATTTATTCTTTTTTAAGCATCACTGAGATCTCTTTAAACTCACATAAATTGAAAAAACCTTTATGTAACAAACTATGCAAATAAACGTTGAAAATTAACAAAAATCTCTCTTAACATCGACTAAATAGACTACT